ACCAGCTGCTCTGTGGAAGAAAGATATGGTTGTCTGCTTCTGTAGAGATTTACAGCTTTGGAAACCCTATGGGGGTAGCTATGAGTTGGAATTGGCTCAATGACAGTGTTTTTTTTTTTTTTTTTTTTTTCTTCTTTATCCTTATGGAAACAGACTGCCACATCTTTCTCCCATGGAACAACTGGTGGGTTTGAGCCACCAACTCTTTGGTTAGCAGCTGAATGGTTAACCCCTGAACCACCAGGGCTCCTTTCCATAAAGATTACAGCCTTTTATAAACCTTATGGGGCAATTCTACTTTGTCCTACAGAGTCTTTATGGGTTGGAATCCATGCAACAGCAAGGGTTTTTTTTTTTTTTTTTTCTTTTTCTCTCTACACTATTAGAAAGGAACTCTGGTGGCACAGTGGCTAAGGCATTTGCCTGCTAACCACAAGATTGGTGGTTTAAACCCACCAGCCGCTCTGTTAGAGAAAGATGAAGCAGTCTGCTTCCATAATAATTTATACCTTGGAAACCCTATGAGGCAGTTCTAGTCTGTCCTATAGGGTCACTATGAGTCAGAGTCAACCAAATGGCAGTGGTTTTCATACTAATAGGAGTGCTTGGTACAGCAAAGATAATCTATGTATTCATTTTAATATTTAATAATGAGGCTAAACCTTTGCTTTTTTGGGGGATGGGAGAAGGATGTGCCTACAGTATATTATGAGTACCATGTAATCTTGGGCATACAAATATTAATGTACAGAAAACTGCCCACTGCCATCAGGCTGATTCTGACTTATAGCAACCCTTTGGGTATAGTGAGATCATACTTGATCATGGTTTTTCTTTAACCATTTTTCTAACTCCCCATGCTTATTAAGTGATAAGAATGTACATGACAAGTTAAATCTAGTCCTAGTTTACAAAATGAAAATTGCAGCTGCATTTTCTTCCTCTTCTTTAGCAAGCACCATGGAGAGATCAGAAATAATGTTAGCCGCTATAACAAATGAGCTCTCAAATTTCAATTATTTAACACATGAAGAGTCACTTCTCACTCATTGGGCTCCGGGTACTGGGCAGTTTTCCTCCATTTGCCCAAAAAGTCTTCTTCATCCAGGATGTGGGTGAGGAAAGAGAGGATGAAGAAAGCACACTACTTCTTAACTGTCCCGGCATAAAAGTGACATATATTACTTTTGCTTGTGTTCTGTTGGCTAGAACATGGCCACACCTGAATAGAAAATTGTGAAGAGAGGGAGAGAAAATGTCTTCTCTGACTGGGGAACTGCCTTTCAGGGACAGCTCTACACAATAACATAGGAAGTATGCACATCAGTTAGTAGATAACTAGTTGCCTCTGCCACACAAATAATAAAACAAACCCACTGCATATAACTTACTCAGCCTTTCTATAAAAATTAAGCTTATATCATCATAGGTACTAAAATTGTATCATCAAGATAACTAAAATTCAGACAACAAATACGTTATCTAGTCATAATGCAAATTACAAATGGTTGATGCAGTTATCTGATAAATGTATTATTTAATGTTAGTCAATTTTCCTATTCTTATTTGCCTTACTGAATCATGCAGCTCAATATCACTTCTGCTTTTTAGCAATCAAAATGGAAATTAGTAGTACTTGGTACAGCAAATCTTTTTGCACCTTGCTTTTTTTTTTAATAACATATTAAAAAAAAAAAAACAAAACTCACTGCCGTCGAGTGAGATCTTACTCAACACGGCCCCTCCTTGGGTTTCCGAGTCAGTATCACTACGAAAGTAGATTGCCCAATCTTCCTTCCAAGGAGTGGCTGGTGGGTTTGAACCATCAGCCTTCTGATTATCAGTCAAATGCCTTAGGGACTATACCACCAGAGCTCCCAATAAAATCATTAGTAATAGGAATATTTTAAAGGCTACTAGTAAGTTAACGTAATTTAGAATATGTTTTTAGATTCCTTCCTGATATAAAAGCTATACACCTCTAAAAATTGTTCTGTTTTCCCTTCTGTTTCATATTCACCATTGCCAAGTTAAAATGGAAATATCAAAGGATTATCAGGCTTTCAGTATTTCAATACAATCACCAAATATAATAGTTTGATTTTAAACAAGTCAATGATTGAGAAAATAATGAATGGCTTTCTATTAGGTCTTATAAAGTTGAATTCCAGAATTATCAGTGTTACACAAATGCTTGAAACAAAAATTAAGTATTTAATTTATAGCGTCTCAACTTATACCTGTCCTATGAATTTTGTGTGTGTGTGTATGTGTGAAGGGAATGTTTGTATATATGTGTGTAAAAGGGCATGGAAAAAAAATTGGGGATGATGGAAATGTAGTGGTTACATAGGTCTATACATTTCTCAAACTCATTGATCTATACCTTTAAAACATATTAATTTTATTTTGTAAATTATATCTCATAAAGTTGCTTTTTTTAAAAAATGAACTGATATTCAATATTTTAACTCTTCTAAAATAAGTACAAAGTGCCAAAATGTGTGAGTTGTAAGATGCCATCTGTTTTAGAAAGGGGTAAAGGAATACATACACATAGACACAAATACATGTATAATATACACGCATACATATGTATACATGTATATGTATTTAATTAACCTTGCACAAAATATTATGGAAAGATGTCTCTCTACCCAAACTAATACCAATGATTATTTGTGATAAGGAGCATTTAATTTTCTAGTGGCTTGAGTCTTGCTCCTGCTTAGCCACTAGGTTTAGTAATGCCCTCCTGGAACCTGTGACTATGACCTTATTTGGAAATAGGGTCTTTGCAGATGTAATTACCAAGTTCATATGAAGTGGGCCCTAAATCCAATATGACTGGTGTCCTTAAAAGGAAAGGGAAATTTGGACAGAGAGAATGCCATGTGAGGAAGGAAGCAGAGATTGGAGTTATGTCTCTACAACCCAAAGTCCACCAAAGATTGTCAAAAACCAGCAGAAGCTAGGAAGAGGCAAGGAAGGATTCTCCCTTAGAGTCTTCAGAGAGAGCATGACCCTGCAAGCGACTTGATGATTTCTGATTTTTAGAGTCTAGAGCTGTGAGAGAAGAAATTTCTGTTGTTTAAAGCCACCCCAGATTATGATAATTTGTTATGGCAGCCTTAGAAAACTAATTCAGCAACAGAAATATATGCTGATTTATTTTTAATAAAACAAAAGAGAATTCTAGTATGATCATGATTGCGTTCCTACTTTTATATTACATATTTTAAGCATACCAAGTGACCAAAAGCATCATACTGTTTTGTTAGTAATATCTATGATTCTTTATCCTGGGATGGTGAAATAGTACGTCTTCACTCATATATTACAAAGCTGTAAAATTGTGTCAGAATTGTTATGAATAAATAAATGCTTATATGGATCTATGAATATCCAAGCAACATAAACCAACATAAACCAGACTCACTGCCATCTAGTCAATTCCAACTCATAGCGACCCCCACTGAGTTTCCCTGGCAGTAAATCTTTACAGAAGTAGATTGTCCCGTCTTTCTTCCATGAAGTGGCTGGTAGCTTTGAACCACTAAATTTCTGCTTAGCAGTCAAATGCCTTAGGCACTGTGCCATCAGAGCTCTATGTCCAAGTAACATAAAAAGTATAAAATGTTATACAAATGCAAGCTGATGCTACTTGAAATAATCACCAATTCCTGAGTCTTCTGTAATTTCACCAATCAGGAAACACTCTACACACAGTCCCTGAGTAGCACAAGTGGTTAAGCACTTGACTACTAGCCACAAGTTAGCAGTTCAAATCTACTGACTGGTGCCCCAGAAGATATTTTGGCCAACTGCTTCTGAAAGGTAACAGTCTTGAAAACTCTAAGGAGCAATTCTACTCTGTACACGTGGTCACCGTAAGTCAGAATCAACTCAATGGCAACCAACAGCAACACACACAGAAAACCAGTTCAAATTTTTTTGCCAAAAATAACCAAATATACTACATTTCAGGAGCTCTGGTAGCATAGTGCCTAAGGCATTTGACTGCTAACCAGAAATTTAGTGGTTCAAAGCTACCAGCCACTCCTTAGAAGGAAAACTGGGCAATCTACTTCCGTAGTGATACTGCCTCAGAAACCCAAGGAAAGGTTGCTATAAGTCCAATCGACTTGATGGCATTGAGGTTTTTTTTTTTTTTATGTTATGTTTTACATTATTTATTCTAAACAGATGTAAAGGAGTGCTGATGGCACAGTGGCTAAAGCATTCAGTTGTTAATCAAAAAGTTAGGCGATTTGAACTCACCAGCTGCTCTACAAGAGAAAGATGAGAAAGTCTCCTTATGTAAAGATTCATGGCCTTGGAAAACATATGGAGCAGTTCTCCACTGTCTTACAGGGGTGCTATTAGTCAGAATTGACTCCATGACAGTGGGTTCAATGGGTTGAATACTTGTAAAAGGAACCTTGTGTTAATTCCTTATATGTTGTTTTTTTTTTTTTTTTCCATTACTATAAAGGTTATTTAAGAGTTATAAGGAGGTTGGGCTAGATTTTGTTTAAGATATTTAAAGATCTCATGATTTCTGTGATTTTAGGATTTGTGGGAGTTTGTTGAGTTTGGGGTGTCTCTGGATAGAGGAAATGGTTAAGTGTTCAACCACTAACTGGAAGGTTAGCGATTCAGACCCATCCAGAGTAGCCTGGGAGGACAGCCTGGCAATCTGCTTCTGAAAGGTCCCAGCCTTGAAAACCCTACAGAACAGTTCTATTCTGGACACATGAGGTCGACGTGAGTTGCAATAGACTCCACCATTACAAGTAGGGTTTCCCAATCTCATAGTGGATTTGAATTATTAGTCAGGAAAACAGAGATGAAACAGATAATAACTGTGGGTTTCCTGTCCATTTCTTTTATGTAGTAGGATACAATGTTCTTAATGAAGTTACAACAAAATTTTAACTTGAATTTAGTAAATTTTTTCATTTAATATTGTTTTTTGTTTTGCTTTGTTAATCTTTCAGTGAATAACCCTATACCTTCCAATCTGAAATCGGAAGCAAAAAAGGCTGCTAAAATATTAAGAGAATTCACAGAAATAACTTCCAGAAATGGACCAGATAAGATCATTCCTGGTGAGTAAATAAAATACATCTTGTTCATTTCTAAATTTGTTTGTTTCCTGAAAGTTCTTTTTGCATTCCTTCATATTTTGGTTCAGAGGGACAACTCCACTGATACTAGCAAGTCCTTAGACCATCTTTTTCCTCAAAGCTGATCCAGCAATACTCTGAAGCTCAACTTATCCAAGTACTCTTTCAAGATGGTGTCCTTAATAGGCTCCACTGTAAACCAGAGCAAACCAAATTATGGGCATTTCTTGTAAGCCATCTTTCCTCTCTCTTCTGTGTCTCTGTTTAATATCATCTTTTTCTGCTGGCCTCTCCCTTTCAAGGTGACCAGTATTTTTTTCTTCTTAGTAATACTTTATTCTCTTTTCAATGAACATTTACTTGGCAAGTTAGGTTTCCATTTAACAATTACCACAATACTGCTTGGGGCTCAAACCTAGCCATGATTGTGAGGATGGCTCAGGACCAGATGGTGTTTCATTCTGTTGTATATAGGGTCACTGTGAGTTGGAACCAAATCCACAGCACCTAACAACAGCAAGAGAACAGCACATATTGTTCAGAGACACTAGTTACATTTTTCAGAGTGTCATAAAACACTTCTGGGTGTTTCACTTCCAGTAATGTGATTTCCATCTCCTCACCCTTTCATCTTTGCTGTAGAGTAACTGTTGATTATTTGGTCTCATATAGATGATTTTTTAAAGGTTCACAGTAGTCACTGGTAATATTCTTTATTTTATGAGCCAATCTGCTATCTAACTTAAAGGTGCCTTCAGGGGCTAGTTTTGGTTCAAAGTTTATGGAATATCCCAGGGTGATAGTCACAGGGAGTCTGCTAGTCTCAACTGGTTCATTAAATCTGGACTTTTTAAGAATGTGAGTTCTGTTCCACATTTTTCTGTCCTTCTGTCAGGATCCATCTATTATTGCCCTGATTTGAACTATCCTTAGTGGTAGTTGAAGGGTGTCCAACCCTCAAACACCACATTTTCCTTCTCCCCTCCAGCTTTCATTAAAGCTCACCTGTCATTTTCTTCACTTCCTGAGAACCTTGTAAAATTACTCACTAGCTAAATAGGTCCCTAGGTGATGCAAATAGGTTGTGCTCAACTACTAACCTAAAGATTGGTAATTCTAAACCACCCATAAGCTGTGAGGAGGAAAGGCCTAGTAATCTGCTTTGGTAAAGATGATAGTCAAGAAAATCCTGTGGAACAGTTCTGCTCTATAACAGGTTAGGTCACAATAAGTCAAAATTGATTCAGTGGCTGCAAGTTTTTTTTTTTTTTAATCTAATAAATAAAATTTAATTTGGTATTTTCTTTTTTCCAGATAAAACATTTATATTTTTATAGCAAGTTAACAAGACAGTAATCAATAGTTTGGAAACCACTACCTATTTATTTAAGTCCCTAGGTAGTGCAAATACTTGCTTTGCTGCTAACTACAAAGGTTGGTGGTTTGAGTCCACCCACAGCCTCCTTGGAAAAAAGACTTGGTGATCTACTTCAGAAAAAAATTAGCCATGAAAATCCCAGGGAGGACAGTTCTACTCTGGTATGGAGTTTCCACAGATCAAAATCAACTTGAGGGCAACTGGTTTTTACCAGTTTATTATCCTTGCCAGTGATTTCTAAAGGGTGTTTTCATAGAATACTAAGCTCATATAAAGAAGATTCATGTAAGCAAATACATTTGGGCACTGTTACAGATTAAGTTTCCCTCCTGATCACAATGCATGTCTCTGAGTCCTGCACTAAAGAAACTAAATTAAATTTTTTCTAAAGTTATTTAACCACAGAACTTTAATTTTAAAAATATTTTATTTGTTGTTATA